TTAGGGCTGAGTCTGGGTTCGATCACGGGGCCAAGCTGGTCGGCAATGGTCGCGCCGTGCAGTCTCCGAAGGCAGGTGGGGAGTTGCAAGGGTCGCATGTCGCTGGGCAATTCAGCGGCCGCCTTCTTGCCGATCCAGACCAACAAATGAATGGAAGGGCCGTGGACCAGGTCGATAAGATCCGGGTTCAGGTCAGCGGCGCACCAGGCCTGCGCGAGCAGGCAGGCGACGAAACAGGCCCCGGGGTGGCACAGTTCGCACGGTTCTCCATCCACCCCAGGAGCACTGCCGCTTGGACCCCAGACGACGGTGGCAATCCTGCCCCACTGCGGGTTGGGGGAGTCCGGGAACTGCCCAAAATCCTTGTGCCGGAAGTATTCGTCAAGGATTCGGTCCGCAGCTGGGTGAAGGGGGGGGCAGTTTGCCAGATATGGTTACGGCTCCTCCAAAGGACGTCGTCAACTTCCTTCGTGCGTTCCTTCCACCTCCCATCAGTGTCACGCACCCCGAGAATGGCGTGCGTTGTGCGAGGCGAGAGCGGGACGCTCGACGCCAGGGCCCCTTTGCACGGGGGTGAGTCGAGCCGCCCGTCTCTGAACAGTGTCGTTGTCCCACTTTCGCAACCAGGAGGCGGCCTGCTGGGGGGTCAGGTCGTCGCCGCCCCACTCGTACTCAGCAAGCCAGGCCGCGAGTGCCCCCACAGGGCGTGTGCTGGACTCGGATCTCGCCGCAGCAGCGAGTAGGGTACCTGGGGAGCGATTGGTCTTGATCCTGCGCCACTTCCTCCACTAGTCCTGCATGGCCGCCGACATAGCGTGGCGACCAAGAGTGAGCAGGGCAGGAACGAGGGGGGCGGTGTGATCGTCCACCAGGGGAGGGGCCAGAGGTGGAGCTGAAGGCTCCTGTTCTCTTTCTCCGTCACCGTCGTCGTTGTCCCTGTGTCTTGCTGGGAATTGACCAGGGGCCGCCGGGCGGACCCAGTCGGCAGGTTGCAGGAGTCTGGCCAGGTCGATGTCGGGCAGTCCGACGGTACGCTCGAGGAAGGTGTAGAGGGCTCTTAGTTCAGCATGCGCCTCGCCCGGCAGGAGGTGCAAGTCACCGGCCCGCATGGTGTTGTCTCTGCGGGTTCGGCGGGCGCCGTGAGGCTCCAGGTGCATAAAGGCGCGGTCGGATACTGACGGTTTCCATGCTTTCCTGACTCCATCGGCCACAAGCTGTCGGTAAGGGCAAGCGACGATGTCGATTTGCGACTCGTTGTCTGCGTCAACCCTAGTGGGGACGTCGCAGTGGCAGACGCGCGATCCTGTCTGGGCAAGCAGATCGGCGAGGGCCGCAGCATCGTCGGTTTCGCCTTCTCTGGGGTTGTCAATATGTATGTTCATGTCACCCCCCCAGTGCGTGGGGGTGTCATCCCATCTCTCGATGGCCTGACGAATGGCATCTATGGTTTCGGACTCCCTAGACGGAGGGAGGTACACCGACACCAGGCGGTAGGTGCTTTCCCCGCGCCTGATCGTGGCTGCAACGGCGCACCCAGGGACAATATCCCCAGACCGAACAAGCGCTGTGCCGTGCGGGATGAGGATTACCACCCCGCCGGCGCGGCCCCCGGCCAGTCCTATGTAGGCAGGCGATGCAATAAGCGTGCGAGCGTGGAACATGGTGGACCAGACAGCCGCATCGTGCTCGGTCCAGTGGGTCTCCTGAATGAGTCCAATTCTCCCGTTGGTGGTCATCTGCGTCAGAAAGGCGTGCTTGATCATGTTCTTGTGTGCAGTCGTACTCTTGAGGTATCTGACGTTCCAGCAGCCAAGTTTGAGCGTGCCGTGCTGAATGGCGTTAGCAATTGCGTCTACCAGGGTCCGCAAGGACCGGTCCCCACACATGTCCGCCCATGTGGGGTTGTCCCAGGCGGTAGCGCGTAGGTAGGCCCAGGGGGACCGTGGCCGCCGGACGGTGTAGTTACAGTGCAATGCCAAGGCACGGCCGAGGGAAGACCTGGCAACTTGCCATGCTCTAGTTCTCGCCCCCGGTACGAGGTTCGTGGTCGGGGGGGGCCCGAGGGCGCGGTAAAGCGACCCTGGGTCTTCAGGCGAGTCTAGGGGAACGGCAGCCCGGGCGGGACATGCTGCTGCTGCAGCATGGTTCGTACTATGTCGTCTGGGAATGGGTTTTCTGCGAGGGGTGCCCAAGAGCAGTTTCTGTCCGCGAAGCTGCGTGCCAGTCTCCATGCGGTCCACACGTGCCTTTCGGTCGGTGCAGCGCGCTGCTGTCCGGGCATGGGTTCGTCCCTGCTCCATGCCAGGATGGAGGACACAAGTCTACGTTGGAGGCACCTTGGGTCGCAATGGATACCAACGGCGTCGTAGAGCATTCTCCCCCTGATAGCTACGGACCGGTTGTAGGACCCGAGGCCCACTGCTCGAGCCCGCTCTTCGGGGTATGGGACTCGGAGTCCATGCTCTCTTCCGTGGGCACACAGCCATCCTGCCCGAGCCTTGACCTTCCCTTCGCTGGCTAGGCTCTCCCGTTCTCTGCCTTGACAGACGAGAGCCAGCCCCTCAGTGCAGCCCTGGAAGCATCGCTTGGCCCCCGTCTCCGCGAGGATGTTCTTGATGCCGTTCCTGGTGTCGGCGAGAGTGCGGAGGAGCCACCTGTAGCTGCTATCTTCGCTGTACATGAGGCACAATGGGTGCGTCTGGTAGCTGCTCGGGACTATGGCTTCGGGGGCACTGGCCGGGGCTCTGGACTGGGTCCACGTGGGGATGCGTCCGTCTGGTCGGTATGTCCACCGTCTTTCCCAGGGGCTCGGGAGTCTGGGATACGTGACGGAATCCTCAGCGGGAGGGCAACTACTGAGCCAGAGGCGGTCTCTTGGGCTAGCCACTGAGGAGGCAGCATCGAGGCGCACCGCCCATTCGCGGTATCTCTCCCAGGGCAGTACACACTGCCTGCTTGCAGTGTGGCTGGGCTTTCGCAGCACACTAGGACGCGGACGTCCGGCCGTAGCCTGCGCGCGATGCCCCACAGGAGCGACACGACGAACAAGTGCACCGACTGGGAGCCGGCAAGTCCATCCAATCCTCCGTATTGGCTTGTTGAGGACAGGTTTGTACATGGGAGTCCGGCAATGATGACCAGGAGGCTTCCAGGGTCAAGGGTTCTCAGGTGGCTAGACCAGGCATTCTGATCTTCCTCTCCCCTTAGCAGGTCCCAGACGTCTACTCCTAGCCTCTCGTGCGGAGGGCCTCCATCACAACGTGCAGCGTTGTCGCGGTCCCAGCGCCTCTCCACTCGAGATGCGGCTTTCTTTGTTAATTTCGACAAAGGCGGAGGACCTGAAGCGTGGAACCGTGGCGATTTTTGCCATGAGGTCACCAATCGCAAGTCTTGCCAGTCCCCATCCATCGAAGAGTGAGACGAGGTGTAGGCTTGGTCCTGTGGCCGCGCACGGATTCGGTCTCGGGTCTACAACTCGAGCTCTTGCCTGCTGAGTGGAATCGAGCGTCCAGTCGTCGCCTTGTCCAAGGCCGGCGTTGGTATTGAGCCTGAGGTGTCCCGAGATATCCCAGGCGTCGTCGGTGGGGCAGAGGGGGACAATGCCGTCCTGCTGAAGAGTCCTGAGCGTGCCGATGATCTGCGTGTTGTCCAGACCTGCGATTTGGTGGTGGGGATACGCGAAGCGTCAACAATTGCAAGAGCTTCGCGGGTGATAGGCGGGCCGGTTTCAAGATGCAGCTCTGGCCGCAGCGCCACGCACATGCGCTTCTCAAGCATGGTCAACATGACGGATGCAGGGCGGTCTACATCGCGCCGGAGGTTCAAAATGTGGCTCTCGTCATCGCGCCGAGCACATTCGTTTTAATCATTTGCAAATGTTTCGAACACGAGAAGACGAATGCGCCTTTTCGCCGCGCACATTCGTCTTAAGAATTTGAGCATATGCAATTTCCCCAAATGAAGTGTTGGTAGGATGTCGGAAATTACATGGCGCAAAGAGTCACACAAGCTCGCGGCGTTAAGTCCCACGAATGGTAGTCTGGCGCGCTTCGGGACCGTCAAGGCGCAACGGTAACGGTGATTCGCAGCGTCGAATCCTAGGAGTGGAAATCTGGCACAGTTCCAGAGTTTCAAACGTCTTTCTTCCAACGTGGTATTTCCTTCACCTAAATTGAACCATTGCAGCAAATGAAGAGGGAACTTAGAGGGAGGGTCGACTGCAATATCGCTGATGAGTCTTAGGTGTGCGCTGGTCCTCCTCCTCCTTCTCCTCCTCCTCCCACTCCTCCTCCTCCTCCTCCCCCTTCTCCTCTTCCCCCCGCATCATCCCTTCTCGTCCTGGTCCTCCTCTCATCTCCTCCACCCCCTCACGCCCTCCCTCCTTTCTCGTCCCACTATTCCTGCTGCCGCTCCTATACTTAAGCACCATACATATCATCTCCCCACTGCGATTGTAGTTACCCCTCTTTTTGCTTATTTCTCCGCCTCCTCCTCCTACGTCTCCACCTCATCCTTCCCTTCCCCTCCTCACACGTAATTGTTCCCCTCATCCTGTCCTCCTCCCCCGGTTTCTCAACCCCTACTGCGTTCCCCCTCACGCATACTTCTCATTCGCTCATGCTTAACATGAATTGACTCGGGCCACGAGATAGAAAACAGTAAGGGCCAATTCACACAACGGCTATGCAAAGGCAAGCCGCGAAGCACTCGAGGTCGACGTACATAAGCTCCCCTCCCATCTGATCCCTATGACCCTCCTCCCTGGACAAATCAGGGCGTCAATTTAGTTTCTCGTCGTCCTCCTCCTCCTCCTCCTCCTCCTCCTCCTCCTCCTCCTCCTCCTCCCCCTCCCCCTCCCCCTCCTCCCCTCTTCTTCTCCTCGTTCTCCACCCTGCTCCTCATCCTACTCCCCTTCGCCCCTCCCTCGTCCACGTCACCTCCCCGCCCCTGCTCCGATCCTCGCCTTCCCTGCTCCTGCCCTCCTCTTCCCTCCCTCCCCTCCCCCTTGCTGCCGCGTCCGAGCGTCCCGCGGCCGTCGTCCTCGTGGCGGCGGCGGGACAGAGGGGGAGCGCGGATGGGCGTCGCAAGGAAGCGATTCGGAGAGGAGGCAAGAGGGCGAACAGGGCGGCCCAAGATGCTCCTAACATCGCCCGAGGGCGGCCTCTAAGGCCTCCAAGAGGGCCCAGGCAAAGGGCCCCAAGTTTGCCCAAAGGGACGCAACACGAATTGACATCTCGGGCCATCAAAAAAACAAGATGGTCACCGAGACCGCCTGCAGGTCCAAGAGGCCCCCATGAGACTCCGAGGAGGCCCCCGAGAGGCCTCCAAGAGACGGCAAGATGCACAAGGCCTTGGTCGACTACCCAGGCACGGAGGCTGGATGGGCCGAACGCCGCTAGTTCCGCCGCACCCTGCTGCATTCAAGCGGGTGCGGTTAAATGTGCTGAATGCTGATGTTACAGTTTGTTTGAAGTTGTTTGATTGGTTGTGTCATAAAAGATTTGAGCAAACCGAAACCTAAAACAGCGAACATCCTGCACGCACACACACACACAACATACACACACACGCACACACGCTTCCCAGCGCCTATACAAACATAAAAAAACAGCAAAAAACATGCAAGACTAGTTGTTTAAAAAGGGTGTGTAGAGTGTATTGCCAATTGTTCGACCTAAAAAATACGCAGCACGAAACCACTCGGCGGCGTGCTGAATCTCAGCTGGCCCTGCGGCCTTTCCAAAAGGGTTCCTAGCGGGGCCTTGGCCGATCCACCAGCTGGCGGTGCGGAACACGCCGTCCATCGCCCCCTCCCCCTCCTCCTCCTCCTCCTCCTCCTCCTCCTCCTCCTCCTCCTCCTCCTCCTCCTCCTCCTCCTCCGCCTCCGCCTCCGCATCCTCCTCCTCCTCCTCCTCCTCCTCCTCCACCTCCTCCTCCTCCACAGATGGCCCCACGGCGCATCCAGGAAGGCCCGGACGGCCTGCAAGAGGGTCTCCAAGACGGCCTCCAGAGAGGCAAGGCTGACTCCGGCGCGGCCCCACGGCGGCGCGGCCAGCGCCCAGGACGCCCCACGGGGGCTCCGAGCGGCCCTCGAGGCGAGCCCGAGAGAGGCCACCATCACTCATGTGGCCCGGGCGTTTTGAGCTCTGCGTTCACTCTCGCATGTCCTGGCGGCCCACGGCCGCAGACAGCCCCCGAGGCTTCCAAGACGGCTTCAAGAGATGGCCCTGAAAGCCACCGAGAGGGCCTCGAGACTGCCGTGGTGGCCCAAGGCGGCCCAAGAGGCCCCCCGGATGGCCCCGAGAGGCCCCAGGACGGCCCAGGAGACCCCCAAGACGGCCATGCACACAGAGAAAGCCAAGATAGCCTCCAGGATGGCTGCCGAAGGCATCGGATACCCAAGGAGAACCCAGAGACGGTCAAAGAAGTCCTCAGGAGACCCCAAAGGGGTCCCATGGACCCCCAGGAGGCCTTGTCTGAGCCTCAGGGACCTGCAAGGTGCCCCCAGGAAGCTCCAAGGAGGCCCTAAGAGAGCCTTAAGAGGCCGCCAAATGGCCTCTTCCTCCTCTTCCTCATCCTCCTTCTCTTCCTCCTCCTCCTCCTCCTCCTCCTCCTCCTCACTATCCTTCCTCTCCTCCTTTCCCTCTCGTCCTTCTCCGGGTGTTGAAACCAAGAGTTTCCACCACGGCTGGTGCAACACATATTCCAATAGCATGGCTGCACTTTGGCCCAACGTTTGGTCGCACGGGCGTTTCCAGAAAGGCAGGGGGCGGCGGTGATTCGCCGTGAGGCGTCTTCGATACACGCAGAGACCAGCCCCTCTCCAGTGTTTCCCCAGTGGCTTCCCCAGTGCAGTCCACGATCGTTGTCGCACTTTCGCCCGACATTTCACGACACAGGCGCTTACAAGTTACATGGGGCAGCGGTGACTGACCCAAGGCAGTCTCGTGATCCTCCTCCTCCTCCTCCTCCTTCTCCTCCTTCATTATCCCTTATCGCGGTCCTCCTGATAGCCACCCTCCTGATACCCTTCAGGGACCTTCCTGAGATCTGCAAGGGTCCTCAGGATCACCCTTATGATATCCTGAAGGGGCCCTGAGACCTCTGATGGGCCCTCCTGAGACCAGAGTTGCCCTCATGATGCCCTTGATGTCAGTTGAGCACTTAGCTAAGTGCTAAGTACTTGTCACACCAATGTGGTACTTATCTAAGTTCTCAGTGCGCACTTCGAAGTGTCAAGCTGAGTACTTAGCGAAATCACTTGTGAAGTCAAGTGCTAAGTACTGAGTTAAGTACTTAGAGGTGTGTTATTCTTGCTTAACAAATCAGGCTGATTACTCAGTCAACAAATTTACAAGTACATCCAAAGACCGGGCTGAGTACTTAGCTGAGTCACTTGCTAAGTCACTTGCAAATGACTTAGCTAAGTACTTCGAATGTCTCCTTCAAGTTGGCTAAGTACTTACTACGTCGACGAAGTACTTACAAGAGCACTGGCCCACCTAAGCGGGGGCATTCCCATCGGAGATCTACTGACCCGGGTCTATCCAGACCCAGGGCAGTCAGGCTCTGCAAGATCCTGCACGATCCTGCAGGATCCTGCACCCTGGCCCGGGTCAGTGCACGCATGGCTCTGCAGGATCCTGCAAGACCTGGAGCTCTGACGGACCCCCGCTTGCATTGAACCCCGTATCTTGAGCCCCGAGCCCAGGAGGACCGACTGTCCGTGCTGCTCCGTCTCTCTCCTGGGACCTCCTGAGAGGCCCAGGTCGGGGCCCCGAGAGGCCGAGAACGGCGACGAGCCTCAGAGTACCGCCCTCCTGCTTCAGTACAGGCCTTCCGAGTGGGGCTCGAGTAGGTGAGGTCGGAGGATCGCGCCGCATCGCCGGTGCATCGGTGACGCCAGCGTGGAGAAAATCGGGCTCCACATCGAGCCGCATCGATGCAAGGCGCGTCGTCGGTGTGGAGATAGCATCGGGCTCCACGTCAGGCGACCCCAGCCGAGAGGCCTAGATTCGAGGGCTCCCTCCCCCAGATCCCTGACGTCATGATTTTTTCATGACTTCGGCCCCCGAAGGTCTGGACCCACTCCCCGGGACCGGTGCTTCATCCTGAGCCGTTGTCTGACGGTCCCGAGGCTCGGTAAGGGCCGCTGGGAAGCCGAACGTGTGTGGCGAAACACCTCCCGTCGCGACTTTTCCATGACCCGAGGCGATCTCTGTGCGCCGCCGCCCGCGGTAGGCCGCCTCTGGGGTCAGACCCCTGTCAGGGTCCCACGCGAAGCGGGCGCCGGCGCGCTCCGCCAGCGCCTCTGGGCATCGTTTGACCGACCCCTCTCCTCGCGAATGTGGCCTGGACCCCCATGGCCGATTGACCGCCTGGATGGGCATATGGCCGCTCCCTCAAGGGTTTCGAGGTGTGTGGCCCCAACTGGTTTGGACGACCGAAATGGGTAGGAAAGAATGGGTACAATGCCCAGCAGCAAATGTTGTCCAAAACCGGCAGCGGCCGCTGTTGGGCAGGCGGCTTTTTGTCTTCAGTGGACACGGGCCGCGGCGACGCCGACAGCGAGTCCGCTTCAAAATGTATAGAAAATGCTCTTGGGCACTGTACCCATTCTTTCTATACCCATGTCGTTCGTGCCCATGGATGGGAAGGAAGGGAGGGACAAGGCGGAGGAGAGGGAGGAGGAGGAGGAGGAGGAGGGAGGAGGAGGAGGAGGAGGAGGAGGAGGAGGAGGAGGAGGAGGAGGAAGGAGGAGGAGGAGGAGGAGGGAGGAGGAGGAGGAGGAGAGGAGGAGGAGGAGGAGGAGGAGGAGGAGGAGGAGGGAGGAGGAGGAGGGGGAGGAGGGGGAGGAGGAGGAGGAGGAGGAGGAGGAGGAGGAGGGAGGGAGGAGGAGGAGAGGAGGAGGAGGAGGAGGAGGGGGAGGAGGGGGAGGAGGAAGGGGAGGAGGAGGAGGAGCAGGACGAAAGGCTAAAACGGGGGGAGGGGATGGGGATGGGGATGGGGATCGGTTAAACGACACCGACCTCGCACTCCCTCAGCCGAGCGGCGGCGGCGGCCCCGGCGGGGTGCACGCCACCGGGGCCCACGGCCCACGCCTCCGGCGCGGGGGAGGCGGCGGGGCCGGCGCCGAAGGACGCGGCGACGCCGTGCTTCCACCGCGAGAAGTGCAGGTAGGCGGCCTCGCCGCACGAGGGGAGGTGCACCACCCTGCCGGAGGAGCAGGCAAACGTTCGGTCGGGCATGCCCTCCTACAGGCGGATTCTGGACGAAACATTCAGCAGAGTCAAACAATACTCAAGCAAACATAAAACAAATAATAGAAACATCGTCCCAAAATGATTATTGGACTATTCTTGGATACTCTTCCTGTAGAGGGACACGCCCGACTTGATGCTGGAGGAACAGGCAAGCGATCGGGGGTCCGCGTGGACCTCTTGGGCCGCGGCTGGACGCCCCCCCCCCTGGCGGCACCTCTGGCGACGCCTCCGGCGCGCGTCGCGCGCCAGTCAGCGCCGACACGATAGATCCGCGCGCGGCTCCTCCCAACATTTCTGTGCGTGCAGTTTTCTTTCTTATCATTCGGCCTGCCGCCAGCCCACACGATGTCCTCTGGGCCGTGGCGCGCGTCGCCCGACAGGTGCACGGGACAGGTTGCAACTCCGGGGAGCTATATTCGCGGGAGCGGTCGGGCCAGGTTGCGGAGCCATCGAGGCGGATGAGGGCAGGGGTCGAGTCGGGTAATGGGCGGCATCAACCCAGGCTGGGCTGGGCTGGCACCAAGGAGTAAGATGACACAGGGTAGCCCGGGGCTGATCACCTCGGCTACGCAAAAGATGCCCTAGTCAGTCAAGATCGGCCTGTGGTGCGCGGATCAACGGAGCGCAGCGTGGCCAAACCCGAGCGCCCAAGCAGCCGCTGTCGCACCTCGCGCCCAGCGCTCGGAGGGACCCCGAGGAGCCGAGCCAGCACCAGAGGTCACCCTGGCGAGGGGCCGCTCGTAGCATTACGTGCGGCCAGCCCGCTCGCCCCCCCCCCGGGAGCTGCAGCCCGGCATGGGGATCTGCACGGGCCGCCGCAGGACGCCCTCGGCGCCCAGCAGGGCCCGCCCGAAGTCCCACTCGTTCATGCGCGCGATGCCGGGCGCCCGCAGACGCTCCTCCACGCGCGGCACGCCGCGCCACAGCCGGCGCAGCGCCCCCGAGTTGCGCAGCAGCGTCAGCGGCCCCTGGACGGGCCAGCCGTGCTCGCCGATGCTGTCGAAGCGCGCCAGGGCGCTCGCGTTCAGGCCGAAGTGCCCGAGGCGCCCCAGGAGCACGTCGAGGTTGGGGGAGCAAAAAAGGTGGCATAAGCATAAAAACTCGGAGGTCCGCGCGGATTGCTCGGCTCGGCGCTGGACCCCCCTCCCTGGCGCGCGGAGCGCGCCGGGGGCGGCGCCGGAGGCGCCGCCGGTGGGCCCCAGCGCCGATCCGAGAAATCCGCGCGGACCTCCGAGCTTTCATGCTTATGCCACTTTTTGTTCCCCTAGAGGTCCACCCAGCCCCAGAAGTCGAAGCGCCGCAGCCAGGCGGCGAAGATCTCCCCGTAGGCCATGCGCCAGTCGCACAGCTTGTAGCCGCCGTGCACTGGGGCGTCCACGCCCGTGGTGCGCCGCGCCAGCGCGGAGAACGCCGACGCGTTCAGAGGCAGGAACCGGATGTTTCGGGTCGGGCGAAAGGGGGGGATAGCAAAGGGGGGGTTTGAGAATCAGCTCACGTAGCTGATTTTCCCGGCGCCTCCCGGCGCCGGAGGCGGCCATGTATCGAGGAATGGGCCCCTCGGTGAGGCCGAAACCAGCTGCATGCAGCAAATTTCGTAACCCCCCTTTCCCAATCCCCCCCTTTCGCCCGGCCGGAATGTTGTCGGCTCGCGCCGGCCCCCAGGACTCTCGGGGCTGGCGGGAGGCCCTCGTTGGTTGCGCCCGCCAGTACTAGGGACACGAACAATGACATATACACAAAAAACTCGGGGGTCCGCGCGGATTTCTCGGATCGGCACTGGGGACCACCGGCAGCGCCTCCGGCGCCGCCCCTGGCGCGCTCCGCGCGCCAGGGAGGGGGGTCCAGCGCGGATCCAAGAAATCCGCGCGGACCTCCGGGTTTTTATGTTTATGTCATATTTCGGTTCCCTAAGTACGCTCCCACACGCCCGTCTGGAACTGTCAGGAATCCGGAAGAACCCAGGGGATCCTCAGAGGGAGATCCTCAGGTATCCTCATCACGGTCCTCAAGAATCCTTCAGGGTCCTGCGGGCTCCGTCAGGATCTCTAGGGGCGCTCAAGAAACCTTTGGAACCCTCTCCGTGATGGCACGTCGCCGTCTCGGGCTTGTGAGTTGCGGTCTCGGGGTTGTCGAGTTGGCGTATGGGCCCATAAATGTCGCAGGGCACGCAGAACACCAACCGGGGCCTCCGGAGCTGGTCGCTGAATATCAGCCAGGCGAGGTGGCTGTTCCTCCGCATCGACTCGAGGGAGAGGGCCGCCCACCGGGGCGGGGGCCCGAACCACACCAGCACCAGCGCCGCGAACATCGCGGGGGGCAGCGCCCCCGGGGGGGGAGGGGGGGAGGACGGAATGCCGCGGGGGTGGAGCCAAATGCGGCGGCGACAAGAACATCTGCCAGGTCCGAGGCCGCCCCGACCGGGCCAGGACGCGAGGGCCGAGGGTCCGTTCGAGCATGGGCTCGTAGATCGTAGCAGGATCCGATCGGGGCGGGGGATCGCGCCGCGTCGCAGATGCGTCGGCGATGCGGTGAGGTCTCGAGCCCAGCGTCTCCTTCCCGATGCATCGCCGATGCGATGCAATCCTCCGACCCCACCCCGTTTGATCCAGAGGTCCCCGAGGGGTTCTGGAGGTTGCCGCGAAGGTCCCCGGACGCTTGCGGAGGCCCTCGAGGGCCTTCGGAGATTTAAGAAAGGCCTGCCCTACTTTGGTTGCCTGAGCAGGTACCCAAGAATCTTCATTGCAAAGATCTCGAGTGTCCTGGAATCGTTCACAGTCTTCCCCTACGATACAGTCTAATGCTGTCGCCACCTCTCCCGCGTGTTGCGTTTCACACGCACACGCGATTTGATTGCTTTGGTAGTTCCTACGTGTGCTTTTTGCGATCGGAGCGTTCTCGGTCCTTCATACGTGGTGTCCCCACTGCAGCATTGGCCACACTCTAGTACTGGCGCTTGGATCCCAACGTTCAGGACGGCGCTCTGGCCCCAGCGCTTGCCACGTTTCTGGATCCGATTCCTTCCTCGTCCTTGGCGCCCCCCTCCTTTGCTTTCCTTCGCCTCTCCCTTGTCCTTCTGCTCCTCCGACTTCTCGAACACCTGCTGCTGCCCCTGCTCCTTCCCCATCATCCTCCTCTCCCGCCTGCTCATCCCACTGCGCATCCGTAGCCTCCTCGTCCCCATCCGCCAACGTACTAGGCCCCCCCATTGCTGATTGCGAATCATACGAGGGGGCCATTTGGTGGACAAAAGTCGCGTAGAACACCCCAGTCGGTATACAGTAGGAGATCGACCACAAGACAGCTTCCACAAAAAACTCAACCCTGAGACCCCAGGACGTCCGCTGATGCTCAATGTGGGAACGTCACGCTTTCCATAATTAGCAAAACCATCGAAACCGAAGAAACCCAGGGCACCCTGGAGGCAAGCAGGGTGTTCTTTGGATGTTAGAGAAAGCGCGAGGGCACCTGGCTTGCCACAGCCCCCCTCGCTGCCCGCCGACGGCCCGCGCTGCCCGAGCTGCCCGAGGAAGAGGAGAACAAGGAGGAGGAGGAGGAGGAGGCGGAGGCGGAGGCGGAGGCGGAGGAGGAGGAGGAGGCCTGCGGCAGGTGCCTCCCCTTTGCCCATTCCTCTCCCTTCCCCACGCTGCCCGCCGACGACGCCGACTCCGACTTCCCCCCGACCGCGGCGGCGACGACGACTTGAGACGAAACCAGGGCGAAGATAAATCCAAACGAGGATAGATCCAGAATCTCTGAGATCCGACGGCTCTGGAAAATGTCTCGGGCGCCGCGGTCTTCTCAGGGCGTTCCGGAACGCCCTGAGAGCGCTCCGGAATGCCACAGGCCGGATGGATCCTCATCGTAGCCCCGCCCGAGACTCCTGCTGGGGCGGCGGAGCAGGTCCTTGCCGTCGCCCGACGCCCCCGTCAGTCTCGGCCCGCCTCGCAGGTCGTCTGCGCCGCGGCCACTGTGGCGTGTTTTTTTTTTCCGTTCGCGTTTTATCTTCTCTGGCCCGCCGGGGCGCGCGCCCTCACGGCGCGGCGAAGAGACTGGGGAAGGGCCCCGAAAACACAACGACCATCACGCAGGCACGACAGCGAATACGACGAGGAAGTCGGTTGCGAATGCGAACGCGAACGCGAAGGCGACGCCGGCGAAGGCACGACGGCGAATGCGACAACGTCATCGGGATTTGGGGGAGGGGAGAGGACGGAAGGAGGGAGTTGCGCACAAAAGGGGGATGAGAAATCAGGGGTGGGAGAACGCGCAGGATGGTGGAGGGAGGGGGGGGGGGGCAGGAATGGAAGGGGGGCGACGGGGCGGGATGGGTGGGAGGGCAAGGGGGTGGGAGGATTTGTTTATGGATTGCGGCACTGATGAATCACATAGCCTGTCAGCATCTGTGGGGCGCAACTGGCAGAGACAACTAGGCACAGCCAGCTGGCTGCACTAAAAGTCGTAGCACGAACACTCTGCACGGGCACTTAAGGTTAGAAGACAACGAGTCAATACAAAAAAACAACCGTGGTCGGATTGGCGGCAGCGACACAGGGCGCGGGACAGTCCTGGACTGGTGCTGGCGACGCCGCCGCTGTCTCCAGGCCCGCTCAGCCAAGACTGTACAGCGAGATTGCGAGGCTGCACGCACGATGAGAATGCACGATGGGACGTGCACGCCGGCTGCACCCTGATGCACCAGGCGGAGGGGCGGGCGCCTGGCGCGCGAGGGGGAAGAGTTCAGAACAAGACGCGTTCTGACTGACTCTACAAAACTTGGCGACTCGAAGCGCAGGTGGGCTCGAGAGGCTCGAAACGAGACCGACTGGCCGCTCGCCGCTCTCCCCCGAGGGCACCCGCATGGCACGCAGCGGGCGGGCGGCGGCCGCGCGGCGGGGGCGATCGCTGCCACGCTGCCGCGCCGCTCCCAGCTCCTCCTCGTGATCGCCCACCCGCCCCCCTACGCTGCAAGCTCGCCCAGCAGACGAGCGTCGTTCCAAGAGGAACTGGCAGGTGAGGAGGCTTCAGGACACCGTCAAAACTCCAAGATACATTCCCACGAGACGCACGTCCAGCACGCAGTTCCCCCGTCGGCCGATGTCCTCGACTGGAAGATCACTAAACCTATCAGGGGCTTGCAAGAACCGCAAACACCGCAAGGGCGCCGCTTGAAATCCTGCGGCGACCGAGGGGCTGACACCTGAGTCGGGGAGAGACGGATCGACCCCGCGCAAGCGTCCATCTCGCGATCGGGCCCCCGCATTGCCCAAAAGAAACTGGGGTCATAGAAGCGCCAGCAATCCGGGGCTGGCAGAGGTGCCTGACAAAGGCACGGCAATCGAATATGGGGCAGTGGGGTCGGGATTGCACAAACTCCATCTGAGGGGGCGGGCCAGACGACGGGCTGGCGCGGGGCGAGCATCGCGCAGCTGCGAGATGGCAGAGGCATCCCACTCCCTAGGGCCTGTTGCTACACCGCATCTCCACCCCTGAGACGATCCACCCCTGCTGTCCTGTCCTCCAATCCTGACCTCCCGACTGCAAGTGACTCGTCATGCGCACTGTCGCACGAGCCAATTCCGAAGTCGGACTGCAACGCCCAAGGGGCTCCCCGAGGGCGAAGCGAAATTTGCGAAGCGCCCCCTGGCCTGCGCGCGGCTGGCTCTGATCCGCTGGCGCATCGCGCCGGCGAGCTCAACGGGCCGCGACGGGAGGGGGGGTCAATGGAGGGGGCGAAGGGGGCGCAAAGGGGGCCCGGCGCCCCCCGGCCGCGGCGCGCCAGTGCCAGCAAGAGAAAGGCACGGGTGTCAGCGCGCGCTTGCTCGCGGGCAACCTCGACTGGGCCCAGGTCCCGAGGCGCAGCTCCTGGGCCAAACAGCGATCTCAGACTCAGGAGGTTCCGAGGGGGGCGGCTCGAGCGGCGGAAGCCTGCGCCGCCAGGGGCCCGTTCGGCCCCGCCCTGCTCGGGGCGCCACGAAGTCGGGCGCCCGAGCTTCATCGGTCCCAATGCGTGGGCCCCATGCTGCATGAAAGCCACGAAGTGACTCGCGAAACTCACCAGCCTCTCCGCCCCTCATATCCTCTGGCCACGCATCGCCGTCGCACGACTCGCGCATATACAGCCGGACTTGTTTGGAGAGTGCACGCGAGAGGACGCGAGACCCTTTCCGAGGGCCACGTTGCCACAAAAACGCAGGAGGCGTAGATCGCAAGACACAGGACACGAGGGTACTCTCGATCTGGCAGGGGCGACCTACTGACCCGGGCCGCCTGAAATTGACTGCGTCCATGCTGCCATCGGCCAAGACCTGGCGTACAACTGGTGGGTACTGGGTACGTCTTCTTCTTGGCAGTACGCCAGTCACCTCGAGCCCTGTTCGAACCCCGCAAGCACCTCGCGAACCCCGCGATCGCGTGAGCAACGTCCTCGTCCCGGCGTTTCCCGCAAGCGCCCGCGCAACGTGCCCGCGCGGAATGCATGGGTGCGCGCGGGGTCCCGCGCAACGTGGCACTGCTCGAATGCATCGATAATCGGTCACTGCCGCTGCCGGGGACGCCATCGCAGCTCGACAGGGTGGGCAGTGGCAGGAGCTGTCTGCTTCTGCGCGCCAGCCCGCAGGCATGGGATGTCTCAAGAACTGGTCCCGACCATCAAGTGCACTGTGAACAACTCGATCATGGCCGCAAAAAAGCTCGCTCCATAATCTAAGCTGCTCCATCTGTGAGGGGGTCCCGGCGAGGAGGCTCCAAAAGTCAACGTGGGATCGATGAGAGGGAAGGGCCTGCGTCGCGGGCCCATCGGATCGCGGCCTGCGTCTCGCATCCCCCCCCCCCGCCCCCCCCCTGAAGGCGCAACGCGTTTGACCGGCGCGTGCTCCTTCCAAAACGCCCAATGACTCATGACGCATCATGCTACAGAGTGCAGAATCGATAGCGATGTCGACCGAGAGGACGGATACCAAAACAAAAATAGGCATGATACTGGGAACACCCCACACACGCCTGGACATCCCCTGGTTGTCGTCGTCCGCAAAAGAGGCCAAGGATGAAATACTCTGTCCGCCGGATGGCAATTGGCAGACTCTGCGCAGCCAAATTATCATACACCTCGGTCAGGAACATCTGTGTCGGATACCGATCGGTCTGGGCAGGCGCTAGCAGGCGGGTTGCTCGGCATCGTCCTGGTCGGAAAGTGGCGATGGCAAGAGGGCAGCACTTGCCTCCGGAGTAAGGTAGGGGCCGCTATCCAATCTTGGAAGCGACGCAAGTGGAAAGCTGGGTTAGAGGGCCAGGTGCACGCGTGGAAGGTACAACTGCGTGGCGTCGGGAAATGCACGCGTGGTTGGCGCGTGGGCCTGTCGGGCAAGTCGATCTGGGCATTGTAGGTAGTAGGCTGGGTTGTCCGTGATAGTCACGCCCGCTGGCAGGCGTCCATGGGGAGCTGATCGACAGATGGTCCACAAGATGAGGCCGAGCGTTGAAATTCAGCACGCGTACCGCGCACGCCCCATCATGCCCAGCGTCCCCACGCGCGAGCATCACCAGTTGTCGATGCACGCGTACAACGCGCGTGCGCAACGCACGATGTCGAGCAACAGCTTCTCCGCACCATGAGCACTCCATGCGCGACAAGGACGCCGGCGTCGGTGGTGACACAAGTACGCCTCGTTCGTCAGTGTATGCACGGCGGGGCGCTCCCGCTGTGCTGTGCGAATGTGATACTGGTCTGATACTGGGCGCACGCATGCAAACCGATACGCATGATGTACTTCCAGGCGGGCTGGCTGAGCCGCATGAATACCCCCCAGGCCTTCAAGCCATCCGCCGGCGGGGAAAGGTCCTAGCATTGTTTGACAGCGAGATGCAAACACGTAGTGTCCTGGACCCACTGGCCCAAAGTCGCGCGCTGTCGAGCCTGGTCGTCAGAGGCCAGATGAAGCCCCGCGTGGCGCACAGAACCCAAGAGTCGGAGCCGGGACGGACGAAGGGTAACATCTCTGGTAGGTCTGCGCAACCTAGCGACCACCAGGGAATCGGGAACTTGAGATGCACTATGAAAACGGACTCGCGCGGCAACGCAATAAATTTTCACGGCTTCGACGCGCGCCGGATTGGCCTCTGATGTCGAGGGGGCGGGCCACGCGCCGGCATTATATAGACGCCCTGACATGACAAGCCGATGATGTCGGGACAGGCCGTCGGACGCAACGACACGACGACGGAGGACTTGCAGAGAAGCAGCAGTGGCGGCCGCTCGACATGCAATCTCGGGCGCCACAGCACCTGCGTCGATCGCAGAACCAAGCTGTGCGTAGTTGTGCAAAATGGCCGTGCTCACTGGCCCAAGTACTTATGCTCGATGCCCCCTGATGCGCCCGTCGTGCTCTTGCCATGCTGCATGCTGCGCTCGCTTGGTACCGCGCCCGCGCCGCATGATGAGCGCTGCCGTCTCGGGCGCCCCAGCGTTCAGAAGGCGCCCGCGCCGTGCAGAAATCTCCGAAACAATGCGCAGAGACAAACTGAAAGTTTCGTAGAGATGCCCCGCAGGCACGATAAGCAATACGTATGCCGCTGCCGTCGTCGGCATACGAGATGTCGACCAAGGGGAGCGCTGCGGGGGGGGCCTCTCTTGTGGAACCTGCCATGCGGGGACCAAGGGAACTTGGCGCGTCCGCCTGGGGCAGTGTGTAGGGGCATCCATCTGCGAGCATCTGGGCACGACTGTCCTGCACACAACCAGCCATCTGCATCTCGAAGAGCACGTCAGCGAGGGGCTGGTCAAGAACAACCAGAAATCTGAGGTAATGGTATCTTCACAGACATACCAGGGCGCCTGGTAGCAGTGTTCAACCTGGGCTACACTGCAAGCGTCAATCTCGAATCTGGTTAGGGCTGACGGCTGCTGACGGAGTCGGTCGGCAAATTGGTGCGTGGCCGCAGATGGCAGGCCTGCTGCTCTGACTATCGCGG